TTACCTGCTTCAGGCTTCCCGCGAATTAAATGTTCGCGGGAAGCAGGGGAGGGGGCGGAGACTTTGGGAGGGGGCGGAGTTGGGGCGGGGGCATGGGCGGGGCTGGGGGCGGGGCCAGGGCCCCGGGGAGTGTCCTCCATTTGGAGGCACAAAATATGGTAACCCTAGTCAAAAGCAACATTATACCACTATTGCAGTAGCCCCAGTCTCGGCCTACCAGCCATCAGGGCAAGACAAAACAGCGTGAAAGCTGTTCCTGTGTCTGCTGCCAATGGCTCACAGAGGCCATTTCAGAAACTGGGAATCAGCTGGACACAGCAACATCTCAGCCATGCTTCTTGCTTCACAATGTAACCATAACAAAAAAATCTTCATGTTATTAATATATGTGAACAGCTGATATGTTCTATCCTGATAAAGCAGAAAGCACTATCTAAACTTACACTCACTCACCTGAAGAAGAGTTCTGTGTAGCTCAAGAGTTTGTCTCTGACCAACATAAGTTGGTCCAATAAAAGATATTACCTCACCCAGCTCGTCTCTGATATCCTGGGACCAACACAGCTACAACAACACTGCAAACTCACTTACCTGGCAATTTCTTGTCCAATTGTTGCTGTTCTTCTTCCAACACTGGTTCTTCCGGCAACCTCTGGTCTACAGATACTGAGCTTATCACAGAGATGCCACTGCCAGAGCGTACTCTTCTGCCAATTAAAAATAGTTATAAATTGTGTAAACCACTTATGGCCAAAATGTTTGACAACTATCGTCTAGGCAAGAGCTCAAGAAGCAAGGAGATACAGGAGCTCAAATTTAATTAAAAAAAACATTGTGTGCAGTAAGTTATGAATCACTATCTGTAAGATTAAATTTCAAGTTCCTGAGACAGTGAACATATGTAAAGGTGTCTTCTCACTGCAATTTTGCCTTGGAAAAGGAAAATGGAAAAAGAAGTAGGGTGACTCAGCGTCTGGAATCCATAAATACTTACTGGACCACAAGCCAGAATTTACTACAATAGAAGTTCAGGCCAAGTTTTGAATTCTTACACATCTCCTTGTGGTGCAGTAAAAGGGAGGATAATATTGGATAGCTGAATTACAATAGATTTTAGTTCTAATTGCTTTAGTTCTCAGTTTAATTTCCTAAAATTCACTTAAATACTCTTAAAGTCACTTCTTGTGATGGAGAGTCTTCATTTGCCAGTAACAAATAATAAAAGCTACAGCAGACATTTCCCCAGTGAGAAAGTATTGCATGCCATCTGTGCAATGCAAAGATAATGGGATAAGTAGCAGCTTTTTCTAGCCCCTTGTCCTTGACTTCCACACAACTGAACAGAAAGATCAAAATAGGTTTCCCAAACAAAACCAAGATTAAGTAGTTTAGGAATGAAATAGCACAATTTATAACCATTTTACCTAAATGAAGGGGGAATATATTCTGGAGGCAGTACAGGTGGCAATGGTTGGCCAGACATGGCCACATCAATTAAGTGCATAGCCAGAATAAACTCTTCTGCTGTAAGTTTTCCATCTTGGTCAATATCTGAAAGATTCCTGTTTAATGAAAAGACCCAATAAATCAGTTTTAAAATAATTTTAAATTCAAATACTCATTAAGTGGCATGGTTTCTATATTATCAATTCACAAGTGATTCATTTTTTCTTATTTCTATTGTTAGACAATTGACAACAATTTTCCCCCATTTAAGTTTAAAATCTCTTATGGCTGGACTGAAATCAAGTGTACCACCCCTTTTCCCTCAATTTATAATCTCTGCATCCACATTTGCTCCATGGTTTCTACTCCTCCAGGCCTAGAATTATCGGTGCACCCACTACAAGAAGCAAGATTGGCAGGTGGAGTCTTGTTCCTCCCACAAATATCCACTGCACAATGCAGTGCAGGGAGGGTCAAATTGGACTCGTTTATGGTGGTTTGGCACACCTACAGTTTTTCTTGGAGGCTGCTACCATGTTCTTGGAATTTAAGCTTTCATTTAAAAGAAGTTAAGATCCAGCACTGACAAATGCAAAGAAAACTTGAACGTTAACCAAGTATAAACCAAGGCAACGATGTCTGATGATGGTCTAAACCAGTTCTGACACATGTGTGAAATGTCTTTATTCGTATTAAGAGTTTAAATTTTCATCATTAGATTTCAGAGTTTTAGCTTCATTAGCTATTGGATGCTGATTCAAAGCATTCAGCCAAGGCTCATATTCCAGAGATCTTTGAGAATGGAGTGTTTTGGACATCTCAAGTGTATAAGGCTTTATTTGTGGGCAGAATTTAGAACCCTACTAACCTATTCCTTCCCCCCACCCCCCCAACCCCCACAGCACCATTGATCCAGGTCTGTGCCACTGATCTCCTTAGTGGGGCCATCCCCAACATGGGCTCACAAATCCTGCCTCCTTCACGCAACCACACTGGTTCTACTTCCAGAGAATAAGCCTCAGGGAAGTGAGCAAGATCACCCCTCTCATGGAGTGCAACTCTCTCCTTTCATCTATGGGTGCTCCCCTGTAGGTGCAGCAGCGCCCCCTGTGCCTGGGATTAGAGATCTTCAGCAGCAGTGCCCTTTGGACTGCACATGCACACCTCCCTGTCTCACACCATGAGCGGGATATATTATATGTCCCGCTCATGGTGTGGGTGTGTCATATATATATAGCACTGTGCGGCCCGACCGCCCCTAAGTTCCTTCTTTGTTGCAGAGCTTATCTTTCAGCTCTGAAGCAAAGGGGAGGAGGATGGGGAGTGGAGCACCCATAGGGACACATCTCAAAGAAGCTCAATTACTGCACTGAGGTTGGTAGCCGTCTCTTCAAGTGATGTCGCTATGGGTGGAGGTGATTATAAAGCAGTACCCCCAGTGCTCCACTGTAGGTGATTATAAAGCAATACCCCAAGTTGGAAAGCTGGAGCTTTGAAGCGGCATTTACTGGGGATGATAGGACAGTGTGTCCTAGCAGAGTATCTGATGTGACATCCTGAGTAATGGTGTAGTGACGGCTAAAAGTGTCCGCTGATGTGCATGTGGCTGCTTTGCAAATATCAGCAATCAGGACATTGTTAAGAAAGGTGACTGAGGTGGAAAGTGAGCGAGTGGAATGTGCTCCAGTTCCAGGGGGAGGTTATCGATTGTGTAGTGAGTAGGAAAGTTGTATACACTGAAATCCACTTGGAAAGGCATTGCTTTGAAATGACTGCACCTTTCGATCTTTTGGCCATTGGGAGGAATAAGCGTGGTGATTTCCTGAAAGGTTTAGTTCTGTCCAGGTAGAAAGCGAATGCTCATCTGATGTCCAGGGTGTAAAATGTTGCCTCCTGTTGGTTGCTGTGTGTCATTGGAAAGAAGCAGGGAAGGTGGATAGGTTGGTTTAGATGGAAAGTGGATGGTACCTCAGGTAAAAATTTTGTATGTGGGCATAGCGTAACCTTGTCTTTATGAAAAATCATGTATGGTGGGTATGCCATAAGTGCTCCAATTTCACCAATCCACCGGCAGAGGTGATAACAAAAAATACTGTTCTTGTATGATAACTGAACATAGAAGCAAGTTGCCATTGGTTCGAATGGAGGTCTAGTGACAAGAGTCCCAAGCCGGGGTTGGATCCCATATGTGAGGGTAAAGATTTTGGAGGCCCTTCAGGAATCGTTTAATGAGCAGGTGGGTGAAGATGGAGTGGCTATCTATCTTGCAGTGAAAGGTTGTGATGGCTGCCAAATACACACGTATGGAGCTCATGGACAACGCAAATCTTTTAAAGGTATAAAACATAGTCCAAGATAAGTGGTAATGGAGTGCTCAGTGCCTCAACTTGATGGGAGGCGCACCAGGATTGGATTCTAGTCCATTTGTGGAGGTAAGTGCCTCTAGTCATATCACGCCTGCTGTTCGAAAATACATTTAACTGCTTCCAAAGAGGTTATTTCTGAATCCCAGCACCATGGAGGAGCCATGTGTTCAGGTGGAGTAGCTGTGGATTGGGATGGAGGATGCAACCCTCATCCTGTAAAAGAAGTCACGGAGTTGGACAGATAGTGGTTGGAGGGCATACGGTCATGCAAATGAGGTAAGTATACCAGATCTGGGGTGGCCATGTTGGAGCTATATGCATGACTCTGGCTCTGTCCCCTTGGTTCTTGTGGAGTACTCTGAACAGAAAGGGGAAGGGAGGGAAGGCAGAGTACCAGTGTATCCCATGTGATAAGGAAGGCATGTTCCAGGAATCCGCATCCTCAACCCACTCTTGAGCAAAACTAAGGGCAGTGGGAATTCACCAGTGTGGCCAAGAGGCCTATGGAGGGTAATCCCCAGCAGTTGAGGATGTGCTGAAGGACTCCCGTATCTTGTTCTCATGTGTGATTGTGGGAGAATCTCCTGCTCAGTGAGCCTGCAGTGGTGTTCTGGTGTCCAGGGAGATATACAGCTAAGATGGCGATACAGTGTTGGATACTCCAGTTCCATAATTTCAGTGCCTCTGAGAATAGAGTGAGATCTCACTCAACCTTGCCTGTTGATGTAGAACATGCAGGCCATATTGTTAGTCACGACTCTGATAGCACATCACACTATCAGTGGGAAAAAACATCAGCAGGGTATTGCAGACTGCTCATAACTCTAGGACGTTGATGTGTAGGGTAGATTCGGTTAAGGACCATCTGTCCTGCACTGTGTGAATGTGAAGGTGTGCTCCCCAATCAATTAAGGAGTCGGTTGTTAGAATCATGGACGGTGCTGGTTAAAGGAAAGGGACCCCGACACAAACGTTTTTGATCTGTGTCCACCAAACTAGTTAGTCCTTGACCTTCATAGGTATAGATAGGAGTTTGTGAAGGATGTGTTTGTGAGGTACATAGACTATGTAGCTATGCCCGGAGACATAACATGTGCGTACTTTACCATGAAGGCAGCTGCTGCCATGTGGCCAAGTAGTTGGCGACATGCCCTGGCTGAGATCTGGGGACAGGTTCTCACCGTGAATACAAGATTGACTATAACTGAAAATCTGAGAGCTGGGAGGAAGGCACTGGCTTGTATGGCATCCAATTGTGCCTCAAAAAACTCCAGGTGTTGCACCAATGTTAGTGTAGATTTCTCCAGGTTTATGCAAAGCCCGAAGCTCGAGAAAAGGTCCATTGTCACTCAGACATTGTGAAGAGCATCTGTTTTGGATGGGGTTTTGAGGAGGCAGTCATCTAAGTATGGAAAGATGACAACGCCTTCTTTGTGTAGGTAGACAGCCACTACCGCAAGGACTTTGGAGAACACACATGGGGCTGTCAAGGGTTTGAAGAGCAGTACTTTGTATTGCTAGTGATCAGTAAGACTACGATTTAGTCACAGGTATTTTTAGTAAAAGTCATGGACAGGTCACAGGCAATAAAAAAAAATTCATGGCCTGTGACCTGTCCATGACTTAAATACCTGTGACTAAATCTTGGGGAGTGTGAGGTGGCGCGTGAGGGAGGAGATGCTGCTGCTGGGGCGTGCCTGGGGCCAGCAGCACCGCTGCCAGGGCTAGCAAACCGTGGCTATTCCGGCCACCCCAGGACCACTGTCAGGGGCCAGCCGAGCAGCAGCCTGTGTGGCTATCCCTAGGGCCACCTGAGCAGCTGGTCCCAGAGCCAGCTGCTTGAGTGGCCCTGGGGTTAGCCACACTGGCCACTGCAGAAGTCATGGAAAGTCACAGAACCAGTGACTTCCGCGACCTCCGTGACAGACACTGAGCCCTAGTGATCAGTCCTCAGGATGAATCGGAGAAAGCGGGTGTGGGCAGGGTATATCGTGATGTGAAAGTATGAGTCTTGGAAGTTGAGGAACAAGAAGCAGTCTCCCTGTTCAAGTGCCGGGATAATGGTAGAACAGATAACCATCTTGAAGCATTGCAATTTGACTAACTCGTTTAGGTTTCGAAGGTCTAGGATTGGCTCCACCCGCCGGCTTTCTTTTGGATCAGAAAATAATGGAAATAAAAACCCTTCCCTCTGTGCTGGGATGGGACCGGCTCTATGGCTCCCAGTTGCAGAAGATGATTTATTTCTTCTTGTAGAAGGGGTTCGTGAGAAGGATCTCTGAAGAGGGATGGGAAGGGGGGGCAGGGAGGGAAGAGATAGGAAAGGAATGAAGTATGCTTTCTTGATTATCCCTAAAACCCACTTGTCTGAGGTAAGTAGCTGCCATGATGGAAAGAAAGGGGATAGAAGATTGCCAAACTGGTGGGATGTTGAAGAGGATTGTTTTGACTGGAATAGAGGGAGGCTTCTCAGGGCCTCGAACACACCTTCAAAATTATTTGGCCAAAGGTATGAGAGAGGTAGCCCTTGAGAAGTCACATGTCTGTGCTTGGTAGGGGGCTTCTGTCAACAGTGTTGAGTATCGCACGGTTGTTGGGGGGTGTATTGCTGTGGTCGGGATCGTGGAGGAAGTTGGTATTTCCCCAGGTGTCTCATTGGCGCTGGTGAGTAAATGTCAAGAGAGCGGAGAGTTGCTTAAGAATCCTTAAGGGAGTGTAGGGACTCATCCATACACTCTGCAAATAATTTG